GTATCCCCAATTTTTTTGTAGATAATTTCAAAATTATATAGAGTAATCCCAAATTTTTTAAACTATAGAATAATTCCCCAAAGACATAATTCTAGATCCGTTCCTGTGCATAGTGCTTAATTATATTGTTTGTCAATATTGAAGAAATCAACCTTGATAAATCCTTTTTCAGTCCATAATCTTAGGTTTGAAAAGCAAGTTCTCATCTATTAATAAATTGTAATAGTTTGAACATCCAAACCCTAAAGTTCAAAGTCAAAAGCATCATCTTCACTCTCTATGACTTATTCATAGCTTTCTCTCTTCTCCTCCTCTTTAATGTGTGTTTCATGTTTTGTATTTTTCTTGGGTTAGGAGACAACCCTACATGTCAAGTAAGAATACCATGGCTTAAAATGGTACTCACAATGCCAAGACGTCACCCAAGAATCATGTTGATCCCTCCCTAGTCAAGATTAGAAGAGTGTAGGTAAGAAAGAGTGACTTGTCTTGTTTTGTAGTTCACATTGCATATAAGGCATGTGACTTGCGCATGTGGTATTGTAGACACCCCATTTTTGACCGACCTTAAGACTCAGACGTCACCGATTGAGCGCTTGGTGATGTTTCATATCGTGTTCGTTCAGAAGTCGCAAAGTCTTGGCTGCGAGCCTTGCCTCCGGATTCCCGGACTATTTTGTGCTTTGCCTCGGTTTGCGAACCAGGCTCGGTTTTCTTTGTTTCTTTTTCTGAGGGGAGGGAGAGGTCCTGAGGACCATCTCTCAGTGGCCGTGGGCTACATTTTGTGGCTGTAGGCCATTTTGCCCATTTCGGGGCCCAGTTTCCGGTTTTTCGGAGCCGTTGGCCGTGTGCCTCGGTTCGGGACCGCCTAACCACCTCCATTTGCCTCGGTTTTTGGCATGCATCTTATTTACTCCCTTTTGAGGGACACTGAGGTCTGAGAGACCCACTTCGTGGTCGAATGCCACTTTCGGTGCTTAACAGGCAGTTTTCGGGGCCCCAAACTGCGCGTTCTAGCCCCCGAACATTCGTTTTGCATCGGTTTTCGTTCATTTTTGGCAGGTACCTCTGTTTCATCACTAGGAAGGCCGTAGAAGGGTGGGAGGCCAGCAATTGTTTCAGCAACCAGTTATATTCCTCTGGCGCCCTCCAACGCCCGTTTTTCTCACTTCCAAGCCAATGTTGACCACCCTAGGGTCACTTTCTTCAAACCTAACCCCCATATTTGTATTGTACACACATGGGAGGACACCAAAAGTTGGTGGCCGGCCATTAATTCCACCTGACCCTTTTGAACCCTCCCTAAAAATGGCCTATTCTCTCTCCTGTTTTACAGTTGACAATTTTGAACCACAGGGTTGTGTTGAGGGCACCTGGGAGGACACCAATTTATGGTGGCCGGCCATTAATTCACCTTGACCCTTTTGACCCTTGGCCGGCCGGCCATGGAAAGTAGCTGGCCGGCCACCTAGGCCCAAGAAAACTGGCTGGCCATGATCCTCAGGGTTGGTACATTACAAATCTGTATTCCTTTTCCCCAGATTTTGTATCCGGGAGGGGGTTGCCATTTTGGGGGGAAACTTGAATTGTTTTCCCCCCCATTTTTCCCCCCCTTTTTGCCTATATAAACCAGCCTCCAGCTCTGGTTTTAGGGGTTACAAAAATTTCCTAAGAGCCTCTTGCATTATATCCCTCCATCTCTCTCATTTCCTTCAAAAAACACCCAAATTCTATCCCATTTTCACACCACTACCTAGCAGCATCACCACCACTCCATTTCCAGCAGCTTGGGGAGTTTTCCAGAAGCTAGGAGGCATCACTTCTCAAGCCAAGAAGCAACCAAGGGTTGGTCTCCAAGGGTAAGTGTCAATTCCCTCCTTTTGAGCCTAATTTTGCAACATTTTTTTAGTTATTTTTCTTGCTATTTTGAGCTTCGACCAAAACTGAAGGTACCCTTTATTTGAGCTCTATTTCATGTTTCATTAAGGGAATTTTTCCATTTGAGGTCCCCACCTTGCACCTCCTTCTTTATCTCTCCTTTAGGCCCTAATTTTGCATGTATTTTTTGGCCTATGTATGATCTGTTTTAGAGCCTGATGTAAACTGTAAATAGGCTTATTTTGAGCCTCTCTTCAACATTGAAGAAGGGCTCAACACTGTTTGGGACCTCCATGTTATACTTGCCTTTATATTCTCTTTTTGGTCCCATTTTTGCATGCCTTGGCAGCCCCTGATGTTGCTGTTTTTGGACTTTAGTCCGAACTAAAAAGAGCCATATTTTGACCCCCTTGTCATGTTTCATTAAGGGTCTTTGGCTTTTTGTTGAATATTTTGTATACTTTGTGTTATAGCCTCTTTTGAGCCTCATCTTGCATGACATTTTGAGTGTATTTATATACTGTTTTTGGGACTGCCATAAACTGTAAATAGTCATATTTTTGGTCCCTCTTCAGTGTTGTAGAAGAGTCTTTTTCTGTTTGGGCTTTGCATCTACCACTTGCTTCTTTGTCCATCTTTCGGTCCATTTCTTGCATAAGAGCTTAGCCATACTTGTGTTTGTTTTTGGGGTTTTTACAGTGCTGTAAAGTGTCATATTTTTGGCCCCTCTTCAATGTTGTTGAAGGGCCCTAACCTGTTTGGGGTCAGCAGCTGTGAGTTGCTTCATTATCTCACATTTAGGGCCATTTTTGCATGCTAGTTTTGCCCTATTTGTGTTTGCTGTTTGACCTTGCTTAGAACTGGAAAAATGCTTGTTTTGGGACTGCCTTGAATCTGTCTTTACATTCCATGTACCAATTATGCATGCTTTGTATAGCTGTAGTTCATTCTATGGGCCTAATTTTGCATTTCGGGAGAGATTCCATGCATCGGGTGTGTTTTCGCCTCATTTCAGGGCTGTTTTCCCCCACATTTCATTGCTGAAAATCCATTAGCATGCTTATATGTCATTTCCATGCATTTGCATTGCATATGCCATCGCCTCGGTTTGCGTACCCGTGTGCACGCATTTCGAGGCACTTCATTTTCATCTATCGGCCTCTTATGTGAGTGTGGCTGAGGCTCTCTCATGTTAGTATAAGTCCATGTTGCATTCTATATGCCATTTTAAGCCCATTATTGCATTGCGTATGCCATTGCCTCGGTTTGCGTGCCCGTGTGCACGCATTTCGAGGCACTTCATTTTCATCTATCGGCCTCTTATGTGAGTGTGGCTGAGGCTCTCTCATGTTAGTATAAGTCCATGTTGCATTCTATATGCCATTTTAAGCCCATTATTGCATTGCGTATGCCATTGCCTCGGTTTGCGTGCCCGTGTGCACGCATTTCGAGGCACTTCATTTTCATCTATCGGCCTCTTATGTGAGTGTGGCTGAGGCTCTCTCATGTTAGTATAAGTCCATGTTGCATTCTATATGCCATTTTAAGCCCATTATTGCATTGCGTATGCCATTGCCTCGGTTTGCGTGCCCGTGTGCACGCATTTCGAGGCACTTCATTTTCATCTATCGGCCTCTTATGTGAGTGTGGCTGAGGCTCTCTCATGTTAGTATAAGTCCATGTTGCATTCTATATGCCATTTTAAGCCCATTATTGCATTGCGTATGCCATTGCCTCGGTTTGCGTGCCCGTGTGCACGCATTTCGAGGCACTTCATTTTCATCTATCGGCCTCTTATGTGAGTGTGGCTGAGGCTCTCTCATGTTAGTATAAGTCCATGTTGCATTCTATATGCCATTTTAAGCCCATTATTGCATTGCGTATGCCATTGCCTCGGTTTGCGTGCCCGTGTGCACGCATTTCGAGGCACTTCATTTTCATCTATCGGCCTCTTATGTGAGTGTGG